GCACTCCCTGTGATCAAGCGGCGGAGAAGTTCCAACAGCGGCTGAATTTGGACGCCTGGGACAGAGCAGCTGGGGCGCTGCTGGGTAGGTCCCTGCAGCGCCGCACCTCGGCGCTGCGGGGACCAACCTGGCAGCACCCCAGCTGCTCTACCTCAGGTGTCCCCAAGTCAGCTGCTGCTGAAACTGATCAGCGGCTGATTCCAGGAAGCTGGGGGCAAAGCAGCTCTGCCTCGGGTTTCTTGTAGTCAGCCGCTGGTCAGTTTCAGCAGCGGCTGAATCGGGGACACCTGGGTTACCCGACTTACGTACAAATTCAACTTAAGAACAAACCTACAGTCCCTATCTTGTACGTAACCCAGGGACTGCCTGTATATATAGAACGTTTCTAAAGACAAACACACACACACACACATATCCTTGGTCATACATAGGGCCCTTCATTTTCTGTATTTATTTTATTTAATTTTTCCCAGAAATTTATCAACGTTTATTAGCACTACAAGAAATATAAGTGAAAATCAGGGAAAAAGGCTATTGATAATTTTTCTGGCCAGTATTAGAGTGTATTTAATTGGTAGACAGAAAGATGGGGGGTGGATATTCAGTGGATTAATGCTTTGCATTCTATTCAATGTGGCTTACTGCAGAACTAAAGCAGAAATCAAAACACATTGCCACTTCTTAACTTAAGAAAACAACAGATTTCTAATCCCCAAATAAAATGTCATGTGAATAAACTGTTTTAGACTTAGAGCTATTAGCCTATAAATATTACATTTAATAATTGGCCCACACCATTTGCAGCGCCTACAACTCAGCTTCATCCTTCTCTCCTGTTTTTGTTTTTTGAACACTTTCAAATACTTCCTTGTGTTCTGAAACATATTCGGAGACAGATTTTTATTTTCTTCCCATTTCAGTATCTTACATCTTTAAACCATTATCTAGCAGCTTGACATGTGTACGTGGTAGGCATGAGATTCATCAATATGTTCAAATGTGCACACGCTTCAGAGCTTGTCTGCGTGCATATTTTCTATTGTGTGTATCTTCTAGACTAACACATAGCCTGACTTAAAATGGCAGCTTTGCATGTAACACCCCTAATACATGTCTCTCATTCAATGTATTGTATTTTCCTAATAAAACCAGTTATTTTTATATCTTTGATTGATACCAAAGTAGGGTGAAAATCAGAAAAAGCAATAATATTTTTTGTGAACCCCTGGAATTTTTCAGTAAAAATCGGTTTTAAATTAAAATGAAGGGACTTAGTCATACATCATCCTCAGGATTCTTCTCCTTCCATGTGTGTAACAGCTAGAGATCATATGAGCTGAACTATAAACAGTAAAAATAATATGCAAAAATATCTGTAACATTCAAATACTTTCCCTTATTCTAATGCTAACTTGAGAGCCATGTTTGCACTTCTGGGTTTGGTAAAACTCAGTATCTCTTGATCTGCAGTTTTCTGATGCTTTAAACGTCAGTGAGTTGGGGTGCACTCCTATGAACTGCTCAGAGCCCTCCACTCTTACTGGAAATAAAAGGATTTGAGGTGATCATCACTTGATCCAATGCCAACGCAGTCTTTCCAATGACTTCAGTAATCATTGAATTGGCCCATTAAGAATTAGGAGGTGAACTGTCCATGCCAGGAAATCAGTGTGCTTCCATGTTGTGTTTCAGATTCATCACATGCCCAAGAAAATGTGTTGCCCACCAGTCTGAATCGCTCTATGGTACCTTCTCCTCCAAAGAGCCCCTCACCTGCATCTAAGCTGGGCGTTGCAGCTAGAACCTCAAAAGTAAGAGACATCAGGGTTAGACGTCTGAAAGTGCCCAACCAAAAAGATGCAGCTCAACTGAAGGACTATTCCCAATCAAGAGTTAGCACAAAAACAGCAGCCCAGCTTGTAGGTGAAGAAATTGCTATTCTGAGTCTGCACAGTGCACCTACAACATGTGAAGCATCGCCATTGACAGCTGAAGGGACCTATTGGACCAGTGAGACTGTTGGCAGGCAAACCAGGAGGTCAATTTCAGGACCAGCAGCTGTTGGATCAACAAGTGTCAGGTATAGTCACTAGTTAGACAACTTTTCTGTAGGGTTCTGGTAGCCATGGAAGGGATTTTATTGGGGAAGAGAAGTGCAGCCCTATTGACTCTGATGTATATTGCACCAGAGTCTGAGCCCTCACCTAGATGGTAACTACTGTATATTCTGTAGAAAGCACTGCTTTGTACCTCAGTGACCTGCGCATCATATTAAAAGTCTCAGGGGGTGGCCGCATTAGTCTGTAACTTTAAAAACGAGTAGTCCGGTGGCACCTTAGAGACTAACAAGATTATATAGAAACATGAATTTTTGTTTTACCCACAGAAGCTCATGGTTCTATATATTTTTGTAAATCTCTAAGGTACCACAGAACTCCTCTTTTTTATGCATCATCTAGTACATGCAAAACTAAAGTAATATATTCTTACATGGTCTCATAACTTGATTACTGCTAACAATCAGTCTCAATACTAGCACATCAGATACAAGTGTTTTCCTTGAAATTTACAGTAATTCACTTTAAAAGGAAGTTCAGGGGGAAAAGCCTTTGGTAGGTGTCATGTAAACCAAATAAAACTTTTTATTGCTCATTTGAAACTTGGAGTAGCCCAGAATGTGAAAATTTTGATTTCCAGGTCCTGTAATAGTTGTGGTACAGAATCAATATGAGGTCTGTTCCTTGTACCATTTGTTCTGATCCCTCCAAATGAGTATGAGCTATTTTCCACATCAGAGAAATGTTTCACTCTGTAATCTAGCTCTTCAGTTGCCCGAATGTTAATCAATGTTCCCGGTATACCCAGATAAAAGACATCATCTGTGTGGCAAGGTAGGATTCCTGTCTATGCTGGTAGACAATGGTAGAGGACAATGATAAAACAGCAGATATGAAGGGGACCAGCAATGAAAAGTTAAGAATAACCCCAAAAAATAAAGACTTAGAGAATTACATTTTCACATTGTGCACTGATCTGTCTTCTCAGGATAGAATTCCAATGTCAGCCTTTCTATTAGTCCTTCATCCATATGGAGATGCTGTACGTCTATAGAAACTGGTAACCAATCTAATGTTCTCAATACTATCTGCAGGGGACTCTTCAGAGAACTGTTATGCCAACCTTCTTGTTTTGCCCAGTGCTGGAAGTTCTTGGTTCAATTCTCAGGTGAAACCAGGGGGCTCACTCAGTTTCCCATGATAACTTGTGCCATCTCACAATAGCATTTTTTTTCTTCCCTTCAGAGCCACTGTGGATAGGAGTGCCCCCAAAGTGATCAGTCATCACCTGCCAGTTGTCTGCTCCTCCACAAAAACCTTGGAGAGGTTTGCGCCGAAGAATGTGATCCACCACCCCCTGACTGCCAGGACTGCCCTGCAAAAGCTTCCAAGCAGGCCCAGCGTCTCAACAGCTGCTCAAATTAAGATGCCAAAGTCATAGGGAATACCCCATGTAGCCATATATTTTGGAGCCAAGTCGGACCAGACCCACAGTGCTCAGTTGGAGTTTGGGTTCGCCTCACCTAGCACCAGCAGCACTGATGCTGTATTTTGACTTCTCGAGAGAGCTGGATATGTTGAGAGAGCTGCACAAGCGGAGTTGTTTGAAGTAACAGCTAGATTAGTCTCAGTTACAGCTGGTCGGAAATGCCTTTTCAAAAAGCACCCTCTTATCAACTCAACAGTTGATTAGCTTTTTATTAAATAAAAAGCAGCTATCTGTATAGTCTTTGTGTGCTGCAAGAGACAAGAGTTGGCACACTTGGTTTCTCTGCATTAATCCCCATCTATATTACTAGGGAGCCTGCAGTGACACAAGAAAGGGAAAGTTTACAGTCCTTAGACTCAGTGCTGGACAGCTGGCACCAAAGGGCCCTTGGTTTTCCCTCTTGCATCCAGCCTGCAAACTGATGGACCCAACAGCCTGCTGTCATCTAAACAGGCTCACGTTCTTTGGATCCTAAATGTTCAACACACAAGTGAAACAATTGAGAGTGGAGGGGATTGCTGCAAAGACCAGTAACAATGATTGTATTGTAGATGAGCATGCATGTTCCCTTCTCACCTAGAAGAGCAGAAATCCAATATGCGGGAAGTCTAACTGATTTTAGCACCAATTCTCTCGCTGACATTTACCACTTCAGTCTGTTTGTAACCTCAACTAGAAGGCTATGGGAAGGAATACTGAAGATACAACTCATTGGAACATTAGTGTGTCAACCTGATGTGTCTCTGCTCTGACAGAACTCTCACCACTTCCCCAGGACTGATGGCTAGATATCTCAGGTCTGAATTTCACCCAGCGATCTTGCACAAAAGGGGGGTTTTGCGCAAAAAGGCGCTGTCTACACAGCGCTTTTTTGTGCAAAAACCTCTTCCGCAAAAAGACTCAGAAGAGAATATACAAATGAGAGCACAAAATATGCAAATGAGTGTTCCATTTGCATTTCCTCTTCCGGGAAAAGTACATAGTGTAGCCATAGCCTATGTTGGGATAGGATGTAAAGCTCTGTAAGCTGATTTAAATGATTGCATAATGTGATATAGGTAAGAGTGACTGTGGTATATGATCTGAACAATGCCAGATGTTCTCAAACCAAGCATCACAAAATCTTATTTTTTTTCTACTTTCAAATTAATATGTTAGAGATATTTTCTGGAAAACAGTTTAAAATACATGAAATTATGCAGTTAGCCCTTGTATAGTTTGTTGCCTTTACCTCACTAGCCTGTCTTGCTAATATTAAAAAAAAAGGAATACAGTGTACCATTGAGCCCAAATCCTTCAACTTGCTCCTACTTCTCTGATACCCATTCCTCTTACAAAATAGTTAGGAGCAGAAGCCAAGTTCACATTCTCTCATCAGGCTTAAGAAAGAAACATCAATCAAATACATTAAGTATTGAGTGGCAAGCAGTTCCCCAAAATCATGAGAGTGTTGGAGAGATTTCCAGTCAGTCATCACAAAACAAAGTGCTTGTGTAATTAAACTGGCATCTAACATTGACTCTCTGCCAGTGTCACTGAGCATAAACAAAATAAATGGACTGTCTGGCTCAATAGGATAGAAGAGAGAAGAATGTTAGGGTCTGATTTTCAGAAGTGCTGGGTACTCACAGTGCTGGGTGAAATCAATCGGAGTTGCAGATGCTCAACACTTGTGAAAATCATGCGCTGCTTATAAAAACTATGGAAAAAGCAAGTGATATTTAGGACCACCTGCTCCAAATGGCCCCTAGCCATTCTCTCAGTTTGTGCTTGTGCACACAAATTGGGCACAGAGTTAGAAGCCACTTCTGGAAATGGCCATGGGATCTTTTCCAGGAGAATACAGGCCTGTATATGTTTATTATCCAGCAGGCCTCCCCCTGGATTCCAGTGATGGCAGGCAGGGAGAAATGATGACTCATATTTGTGTCTATGGACTGGTAAGTTAACAGGACCATTGTGCAGGAGCAGAGTAAGCGACAATTAGGAATGCCTTTGTGGACTCAGTGGGAGCTATCCCTCCCATTTCTGAACTTTGTCGGTTATAGAGGCCGTCTCTCCATCCTGCCCCAATAATACTACTTCAGATTAAGAACACCATGGGCCGCATCATGACTGCAAAAGTTCCACAGTGAGCTTACCTACAGTGTCCTGGCTGTGCTCTCTGTGGAGATGTCAAGTGATAACAGCCATTGTGGGCAGCATATCCTTTCATCACAACCCCCCCCCCCACACCAATTACTAACCAGATCCTCTCCCCTTGCTGACATAAGCCACGTGGCAGCACAGTCACTGGACCTGCATGGCATTTATTTAAGAACCTGTGCTAGCTTCTTGTGTCACCCATTAATCAGTGCATCATCTAGTAGGACAGTATCTCCTAAGCTGTATGTCGGTGGTGGTAGGTAGGTAAGCCATGTGCTTGAAGCCATATTTAGATCGAGCACTCTTCTGTCCTATCAGCGCCACCGTAGGAATTGTTGTATTCAGAGTTGTCTTGAAGACCTGAAAAGTGAAGGTGGCATAAGTAATAGGCATGTTATGGGATCCCTGGCTGGTGTTTGCCCTTTTGGCTCCAGTGAACTTCACCATGGATTTCACCCATGTCTAGTGTTCTCTAATGGGAGGGACTTTTTTTATTCCCAGGAGCCTTAGGGTTGTCTCCTCTACTCAAATGCAGGGCCTAGTTCATGTGTCTGCCTGTAGCTTGAAAGCAATGACAGGAGTGTGGATTTACTCCAGGCCTTATGTGTCATTGCTGCATCACAGTGATGCATCTGCACAGCTACTGCTGTGCCCAGGACACAAGATGCCACAAGGACAGATTATCCCACAAGGACACAGCAGGAGGTGCTGCAACCACCCACCATCCAGCTTCCAGATGTCACAGTCTTTATTTTAACTTCAGAGACACACGCAAAAAAGTGGTTGCCCTTCTTACATGTGGTCCTCTTCTCACCTGACAGCTACAGCCCTCTTGCAGGAAAGTGGAGATCAGAAGGGGGGGAGTGTGCTTCCCGGGGGTAGCACACTTAGTCTTGGCCTGGACCCACGAATGGCTACATTCACAGTCTGTATCACAAGAGAGAAATGAACTACCCTCCCAGGCCCAGCTCGCACACAGTGCTGTGCAGTGGCAGACCTCACAGGAGGGCGAGCATTGTTACTCCCAGCTCAGATGAAGAAACTGAGGTAAGTGAAATGACTTACCCCCGGTTTCACAGCACACCTGTGGCAAAGCTGCTGATTCCCAGGCGCCTACACTGCTCCTTCCATATGTGCTGTAATTCACTTTTCTCTCCCTGGAAATGCTAATTACTTCTAGAAGAGGGCAAAGGGAGCTCAGCTAGGCTCACTTCATGGTGTGGGGCCCGATTCGGGGGAATTGGACGAATCGGCCTAAGGCCGGCCCTGGTCAGACCAGTAATAGAAAACTGTCCATTAAGTCCCAACAGCGCCCTGACCCAGGAAGCATGGGCAGCGATTTATATGGGCTCGTGGTGCCCATGCTCCAGTATTCAGAGCCAGGGGCCCTGCTCCACCAATATGTGGAGCTGGGTCTCTCCCCCGACCCTGCCTGGAGTGGGCCCCAGCCCCCACCATGTGTCTCCCCCATCCTGGCCCCAGAGCGTCCCTGCAGTGCGCAGCTTTAAGTCCGGCTCCCCCTCGCCGGTGTGCGCTGCCAGATGCTGCTGCCATGCACAACGTTCTCAGGTGAGTGGGGATACGCCCGGGCGTGACATGACATCACAGCCCGGGACTTTAAAAATGCTCGGTGCCACATTGTGCCGCACGGCCTAGCTCCAGGTTCGTTGTCCAGGGACTTCTGGGGCCCAAGCACAGACTCTGGCCTCACAAAGCAGAAGGCAGAAGGTAAGGTAAGGGGAGGAGGAGGGGCTTGTGCGGAGGGGGAAGAGGAAAATGGGAGAGGGGGAGGAAGGGGCTTGTGCGGGGGGGGGGAGAAAACGAGGGAGGGGGGGGAGAGGAAGGGGCTTGTGCGGAGGGGGAGGGGGAAGAAAGGGGAAGGCACCAAGAGACAGGGTGGAGGAGAGACAAATGCCAGGGAGCCAAGTGCAGACAATGAGGAAAAGGGCAGGAGGGGAGATGTCAGTGGGAGGGGGACAGGGTGATGCTGCAAGAGGAGAGGATAAGGGCATTGGGGGCTAGAGGGGTGAGGGGCAGGTGCTGGGAAAAGGCTTTAAAGAAGGGGTGGGCATGAGAAAGGTGGGGATGGAGCAAGTCGTGTGAGGGCACAGAGGAGCAGGAGGGGAATGGAGGCAGAGAGTGGTGAGGGGGTGGGCATTAGGGAAAAAGGGCAAAGGGGGCAGGGACAGTGAGGGAAGGGGGAGGCACCAGGAGGGCGCAGGGCTAAGGGAAGGTGCAGGTGCCCAGGGATTCTGGGGGTGAAGCAGAAGGGCAGACACCTGCAGGGGAAGGACCAGCAGCAGAGGAGAGAGGCAGGGTAGGTGTGTAGAGGGAGGTGGTAGGAGAGGGGATGAGGAGGCGTAGCTCACATGATCAGAGTGGGGCTATTGGGGGAGTGGGCACAGGGGGCAGAGAAGGGCTGATGGAGGGGGCTGGTCAAAGGAGAGCTGAGGGCAGTGAGAAGGGCAGGAGTCAGGACAGCAGACGAGGGTGAGGAGTTGGGGGGCATCAGGCACCAGGGGAGCTGATGGAGCAAGGGGAGGAGACGTGGCAGCAGAGAGAAAAGATAGAGGTTTATAAAATATTTATAAATAACTTGGGTGCCACAGTGGCTCATCCAAACAAGCCACAGGAACTCAGTACTGGTGCACAACACAATCCATTCTGCTCATGGGAGGAAACTCTTAGGCTAAGAAACTGGTGGCTTCTTGTGCAAGAACATCTTGCGCAAGGGTTCTTGTGCAAGAAGTCTTGCACAAGAAAACATCCACACTGCCATGTGCGAGCTGTGCTTTTGCACAAGAGTATCCATGGCAGTGTGGGTGCTCTCTTGCGCAAGAAAGCTCCGATGGCCATTTTAGCCATAGGGGTTTCTTGCACAAAGAAATCCCTGCCGAGCATCCACACGGCCCTATTGCACAGGAGGGCTTACACCTGTTAGAAAAGAGCATAGCTCTTGTGCAAAATGCCCTTTCTTACCACGCCGTACTGTAAATGCTCTTGCACAAGAGCAGGCGGGCAGCGTGGATGCTCTGTGGGTTCTTGCGCAAGAATGGCCATACTTGGTTAATGGGGGTCAGGGGCATGATTAACAGGGATCAGGGTGTGTGGCTAATGGGGCACCACCAAAAGTTATACAAACCTGCCCCCCCTGCCCGGAGGTGTAAGCTGAGCATAGGGTTTCCCTGTGCTGCTGTGGGATGGGGGAGTGTTAGCTATCTCCGGGACTTTGCGGGGGAGGTAGCTGGGGATATTTTCTGGGTCCCCTGTTGAAACTTTTGTGTGCGGTGTGTGGTGTGGGGTTTTTGTTTGTTTGTTAGTTTGTTTGTTTGAATTGGGCCCCGCACTTCCTAAAGCCAGCCCTGGGTCTGACCTCTGCACTCAGCCTGCAATACCTCCATCCCCAGCAGCCTGGCTGCCTGAATCTGATGTGCAAGCGTACGTGGAGTTTAATGCTTAAGTGTGGAGTTTAATGCTTAAGGAGGCATGTGGCGCAGCACAACGCCAGCGAGAATGGAACAGCAGGAAAGGCGGTGAAGAACAGAAACAGCCTGACACAAAGGAAGATTGGTGGTCTCATCTCTAGTGCTAGTGGATGCTCCATCAAAGCAGCAGAGAAGCTCTGTAAAATTAGCAGTCCCCAATTTCAGAGCTCGCACCATGAACAGGCTGTGACACATCAGGGCTGAACTCCCCTGGCAGGTCTGCAGGGTCAGAAGCTGACACTGGTTTCAGCGAGGGTCATACACCTTCCACCTTTACAAGTGCCGATAAATAAATCAATAAATCAGGGCCTTGTCTTATCTCCTAAGAAATGCTGTGATGGGATGCACGAGAAGGGAGTCACTGGGCTCTAACTGGAAATGGGATTCATTGCAGATTTCTCTGTGTGTGTTTCACTGAATCTCACAGTCCCCCCCTTGCAGGCCAATGTGACCAGTTTAGGAAGCTAGTAACCACACACCGACCCCTTCGGCCTTGTAACTGGACAGGAATGGACAGGAGCTGCTGCCTTTAAGGGTTTGCCAGTTGCTGCCACGTTAACATTTAGGGTATGTCTAGACTACATGGCTCCGTTGACAGAGCCATGTAGATGAGTTTACTAGACATAGGAAAATGAAGCGGTGATTTAAATAATCGCCACTTCGTTTACATCAAAATGGCTGCCGTGCTGTGCTGATCAGCTGTTTGGTGGCACAGCGGGGCAGTCTGGATGTGCCGCAGTCGACAAGGGAAGCCTTTGTCAACTGCTCCGGTATGCCAGTTGATCAAATTTGCAAGAGTAACCAGGACAAATGCCCATTTTTGCCATAAAATTTGGGACGGCTGAGACAGGGCTTTAAAAATGGACTGTCCCAGTCAAAACAGGTTATATGGTCACCCTACTGTGTCCAGCACTGCCCGGGAATTACTTACTCTGGGTTTCGGCTCTGCAGTTGTGGGCTGCTTTCCACAAGGAGCAAAATCCTCCTCCTTCTCTGGCTCCTGCTCCTCCTCCTCCTCCTCTTCCTCCTCCTCTTCTTCTTCGCTGAGTGAAAAAGAGGAGTCTCTCTCCTTGACTGCTCCTGAAGAGAGAACCCCAGTGATTTCAGAGGGAGAGGCGAGGAGAAGTTTGAATCATTTGAATCCTGAGGAGACTTGGGGAAGTTTCCTAATTTGCATTTAGGAAATGCCAAAAGCCTCCATCAAAGCCAAGGCCACTAGGCACTGAGTGCACAGCCAGGAAGCAGAAGCAGTAAGTGTCAGCCAGGGGGTTCCGCCTTTCCTGGGTGGGATGAGCCAGGTCCCCTGGCAGTGCAACCATTATCCCCGCCCAAACCCATACATAGGTTTGGAAACATTGGTGCAAAATGAGGGCCCTACATCAGTGGTTCTCAACCGGGGCCCCCTTGGGGGCCGCCAGTGGGTTTCAGGGAGTCCATCAAGCAAGGCCAGCATTAGACTCGTTGAGGGCAGAAAGTCAAAGGTTCCCCAGCCCTGTTTACCCTCCTATGTGCTCTCCCCAGTGTGTCCCCTTGGCCTGCCTATCTGCCACCCTGGGGGATTTAAAATGGCCCCAGGGCCCCCACTGCCACCACCAGCAGCGCATTGGGCTAGAGTGACTTCCAGCCGCTTGCTTTGTGTGGCTGCCAGCACAAAGGCCCCTGGAGGTGGAGGAGCCTTCATGTGCTGGCCTCACCCTGAACACCCCTGTGGCCACTGGGAAGCGGGAAGACCCCCAGCCTCAGAGACACCGCCAGAAGGGGGTGCTCCAGGAAAGTGCTACATCCCTGAACCAGCTCCCAAAGCCTGCATCCCCTCCTCCCCTGCAAACTCCCTCCCCCACTCCTCCTCCCCTGCACTCCCTCCATCCCAACCCAAATCCCTCCCAGAGCCTGCACCCCCCTGTCAGTACTCCCTGCCCCCGCGCAAAGCCAGCACCCCAGACTCCTCCCACGCTCACATTCCCTCCCAGAGCCTTAGGCAAGTGGAGGGAGGGACCTTGTGTGGGAGAGGAGTGTGGCACCACCAACATTTCTGCAAACGGGTGTGCTTTGATGTACTAGGTCTGTCTGGACTCCTTTATAACCCACGTGAAGGGAAACAAGGCCGGGCCTTGCACCGCCAGTTGGGGATGCACCAGGGATGACCTCCATGCCATGGCAGGGGAACTGAGGGGGTGTCGGGGGGTGCAGGGGGCAGAGGGCTGGGGAGCCGTGGGAGGGTGCAGGAGGGTTGTGCTGGCGGGTGGGGGGGGGGGGCTCGGAGTTGTAAGACACAGCACATTCGCTTTGGCAGGGAGAGCCAGCCGCTGGGAGCTTGCGGAGTTCTGGGGACGTGAGCGGCACCCTGGCGCTTTACCCCACGCAGGCGCTCGCTGCTTATGCTACAGAGAATCTTACAGTTGTCAGTCTGTGGCAGGTCCTCTGGCTGGGACCTGCGGGAGGTGAGGGATGATAGTACATTCAGGCAGGGGCCACACGTGGGAGGGCATGAGGGGCACATGCCCCGCCCCTAGCACCATGAGGAGGGGTGGCATGGGGCTGGCCAGCAGGGCAGGGAGGGAGCGGAGCAGGGGCAGTGGCTGGAGCAGAGGGGGGTTGTCCCAGCCCTTCCCTGGGCTGGAGGGGAGAGGGGGGTCACATGGCCGGTGCCCCCCCCTCCACCAGTCATGCCTGATTCCAGATCTAGGCAAAGGCCTGGCCTTCTGGGCAGAGGAGACAGGCTGAAAGTAGCGAACAGGCCCTTTGCGGACGGCTCTGGAGACTGGGGAACATTTTCTTGGCTACCTGGGTCAGCGCATGGATCCACCAGCTTGAAGTTGTTTTGTTCAAAATCAGCTGAGCCCAGGCCCCCTGGCCCCAGGGTGACTCGCACTGGGTGGCTGCCCTGCGTTAGCACCGAACTATTGGGTAGCACAGGCAGCTCAACACACCTGCGATGGGAGGCAAGTTATGGGCTGAGAAGACGACAGTCTTGTAAACGGTCTCACTGGATGCCTGGTGGATTTTCCTCCTGTCGCCCTCTGCAGGGTCTCCCAGGCGCTTGCTGTTGAAAGCGCGAACCCGACGGCGCTGCTTGTCCCTGTGGGAGAAACAGGACTCGCTCCCGACGTAAGCTGGCGTCACCCATCTCAGTCAGTTCTGGGGCTACTGGAGACTCGTGCGGGGAACCCACCATCCTCGGTCTCACTGGATGCCTGGTGGATTTTCCTCCTGTCGCCCTCTGCAGGGTCTCCCAGGCGCTTGCTGTTGAAAGCGCGAACCCGACGGCGCTGCTTGTCCCTGTGGGAGAAACAGGACTCGCTCCCGACGTAAGCTGGCGTCACCCATCTCAGTCAGTTCTGGGGCTACTGGAGACTCGTGCGGGGAACCCACCATCCTTCCCGCAGCGTTCAGTATCAGCTCAGTTCGATAGTCCGTGTGCTTTGGGGTCCTGCCTCTCGCCTGGGAAAAGCCCATAGTGCGCCTGCCCAGGTGTGCAGCCCTGACCATGGGAGAGAGCGTTCCTACCTGACCCCAAGCAGCACCCAGCCACCCCCTGAAGCATGAGTCCCTCCCCACCCCCGCATCCCGGCCAGGACAAATATTATCACTGTTACAGCCTGGCCATTTGGGGGCGCCGCACTCCTGTGGCTCCCCTGCTGCCCGTTGGCCACGCTTGACTTGGCCTCTGCCTCTACTCTGATTTCCAACTTCTTTACCCCACCTGTGGCTGGTGCTGTGCAGCAGCTAAATCTGTGGCTAATGACTAGAGCAGGAGTGGGGAACCTCAGGCCTGGGGGCCAGGTGCAGCCTCTGGCTTGCCTGGGTCTGGCCCCCAAGGCTCCCCCCAGCATTGGCCCCTGAGGCTCCAGGCTCTCCCCTTTGCCACCTCTCTGCAGGGCTGGAGCTCACACAGTCTACTAGCCTGGGCCCCGCTAGGCTCTGGACTGCATTGGGACTGTGGGGAGTCTCTTTCGCCGTCTCAGTGAGGGGTCATGTCAGTGAGGGCTTGTTTTGGATTTTTTTGCTTCTCACTTGTGTGTGACCTTGACTGATTTTTTTCTGTGGGTCAGTGGCCCCCGACCCAAAAAAGGTTCCCACCCCTGGACTAGAAGTTAGTTGAGCCAGAAAAACCTCTACAGCAGCAGTTTTCAGGCTGTGGGTCAGGACTCCAAAGTGGGTGGCAAGACCCAGGCATGCGGCCTTGGCTTTGGCCCTGGGCAGTGTGGATCAGGGTTCAGCCCTAGACCCCAGCACACTGAGCACTCAGGTGGTGACTTAGGAGAGATTCAGGTGCCGCCCGGCTGATGTGCACAGCACCCACAGCCGGCAGCATGTGTTTCTGTTGGTGGTGCACATCTGCACATGCCCCGGTGCACATAACAATGTTTATTCTGCACATGGATGGAAAGAATTAGAGGGGACATTGTCTGAAGCCCTTGAGCTTCAGCTTTGGCCCCCTGCCCAGTGAGGCGGGACTTGGGCTTTGGCCCCTTAGGCAGGTCTCTCCTTTTGTCAAAAGGGGGGCACAGGGAAGTTTGAGAACCGCCGCTGTAGAGGATCAGGCATTGCACCCTGGGCCCTGCTTTTCTACTCTTCTGCCCCTGCACTTGAGGCAGGAAGGGAAGAGCTTGGCACAGGCAGCTTTAAGGCACCTTTTCTTCTTTCCATGTCCAGGGGCCAGGTGACAGCACCCCAGCCCTGGCAGTTCGCTAGAGCAGCTCCAACGCAGGCCCGGCCTCCCGTGACCCTGTGCGGCTGTTTGGACCACTGGGGCTGGGGAGCAGGGCTGGCGTAGCAGTGAGGCCCCTGCCGGGATGGGGAAAGGAGCCTTCATGTGACTGGGCTTGGGGGCATGGAGCCAGGGCTGGGAGAGGAGATTTGCTGGGCGCTTCCCTCCCGTCAGGGTTTTTACCT